ATTTTTTATTAATAAATCAATTTTTATCTTAAATAACTTATGTGCTGTTTGTTTTTTCGAAACGAAAATTCATGAAGTCTGCGTACCATCTCTGCAATCATCTGTAGCAGAAGAAGTGGAACAAATGACTGCAGTCCATAATAAGAAGCATGTTTGTTTTTTAACATCTACAGACTACTGCAGTAAACTGAAATTTAAATAAACTAATTTTATAAACTGAAAATAGTTCTTAACATCGAAATTTTAATAATTCTAGTATTAAAACATTGAAAGAGTATTAAAAAGAACATATAAAAAAATAAAAATATAAAATTTTTTAAAAAAAACTTACAAAAATATAAAAGAAACTAACAACTTTATTCTAGAAAAAAACTAATTTTAAAAAAATAAAAAAGAAAATAATAAAAAAAAATTAAGAAAGTATTACAAACGATGTCTACAAATTTCGTAAAAAATTATACACGTTAAAAAAGATGAAACCGAAACTGAAAATATTATTAACAGAAAACACTACAAGAAACAGAGCCTTTAGCGGCTACATCAATAGCGGCGACAGAGAGCTTTAGCGGCGACAAATTAAAAAGTCGCCGCTAAAGGCATATGTCGCCGCTAAAGGCTGAATGACACCGATCCGCTCTTTGACGTTCTGGCAAACACGAATCGTCTGATCGTGGTTCTAATCCAACGGCTAGGGTGCTCGTGGAACGCATAAAGGAAATATCGGCGACTTTTGTCGCCGCTGAAGATCCAAAAAAGTCGCCGCTAAAGATAAAAAAATGGTGCGGTAATAATTCCCTCCTGATAGTCGCCGCTATTGATCGTTGTCGCCGCAAAAGACCAATTTGTCGCCGGTAAAGGTGTTGCCGCTAAAGGCCGACGCAGTTAACCCCAAAAAACTCGATCTTTTTCCTTTTGCTCTTTCTGTTTCACTTCCTTCGCCTCTTTCTCTTCTCTCGTCTGCATCTTACTTCGCCGATTATTGTGGGATACCAGTGAGAATTATCAATTTTGGGTGTGTGAAATTGTCCACAAAGAAGATACCCCCGGTGGAGAAAGATTTTCCGGTGAGGACCAAGCTTTTCCGGCGACACCAAGCTTTTTCTGGCGACACCAAACTATTTCCAGGTCAAGTTTCGGTCCCTTTTCTCTTGTAACATCGATTTTAAGCTTATCGGAGTGGTTAATTGTAAAAAATTGTCAATTTTAGTTTTGTTGATTGTGTTACTACGTTCCCGACCACCACCAGCGACTACCGCCACCACTGGACCATTTTCATTGATTTCCGCCACCACAGGTTCTATTTACTTCTATTTATTGTGAAATTTTAGTTTAATTGCAAAATATGTGTAGTTGTCTCAATTATTTGAAAATTGTCATATGTATGTATATTTGATATTTGTATGTGAATCTATATAAATTTGGTGTATATATGTCAATGTATGTGTGTTTGATGTATATGTGGTATATGAGTATTTGGTAGAAGTATGTTGTTATTATGTGAAATTATGTGTAGTTGGTCTAAATACCATCTCTTTGATTTGATTTGTTTATTTCATTTAATTAAAAAAATTAGTTTTGTTCCTATCTATCTTTCTATTGTCATGATAAATGTTCAAATTAAAAAATAAAATTAATAAATTATCTATATTATTATTTATAAGTAACAGAAAAAAAATATATATATATATATATTTAATTTTTCTTTAACTAAATCAATAATATGGTAAAAGGTTACTAAGTTTTTCAATATATTAGTTTTGTTCCTATCTATCTTTCTATTGTGTTGTTCATTCTTACATAATATTTCAAACTATCGATATGAAAATTTGAAAAGTAAAAGGCATTAAGGCAATAAATTCAAATCTAAAGTTTTGGTATAAGTAGGATGCTATAATTGGAAAAAATAAAAAAATAAATTATTGTTATAATTGAAAAAAAAAACAAAAAAATGTTATAAAATTGGTTAAAAACTTATATACAAATACTAGAAAGTTTTAGTTTAAATAGAAATGTTTATTCCTATGTAAATGTTTATTTCTATGTAAAGTGAATTTGTAATAAAAATTGTATCTGTATATCTTATAATTTTTTAGGAAATGTTGTCAATTTGGCTTTTGTTTGTGTATACCATGGCTACTGTTATGGGCCGTAGACATGGGGGTGATGGAGCTGAGGACCCACCTTTCCCAGGTGGTAGAGGTGCTGGTCATCATGAGCAGGACCGTAAGTTTTATTATGAATTTTTATTTACTATTTTTATTCAGTTATTATAAATTAAATACCATTTCTTATAATTTTTAAGTACATTTGTAGTTGAGCAACGTGCACGTACGAAAGTCCGAGGCAAAGCCAAAAATATAAAGCTTGAAAGAGCGATATTACAAAATAAGGGCAAACCGATTACCATGGAGTATGATAAGGATATAACATATGATCCCGTAGGAGAGCCGAAAGACATGTTTTCACGAGAAATTGGAAAAACAATGTGGCATATGGTCCCTTTTGATAAATGGACTTGGAAAAAAGTTTCCCCTGCAATAAAGGACACCGTAATACAACATTTAGGGGTAATTATTTATTTAAAAATATTTTATATGGTTAATTATGACTGGTTTTTACTTGGTTAACTTTTTTTTTTGTAGACAAAATTTGATTTGGATCAGATGTACCAGGATGTACAAGCTAATATGTTGACAGAGAGTTTTCAAGCAGCTTTGTTAAAAGGTTATCGAGAACGGAAAGCTGACGCAAAAAAATATTTTTTGATAGTCGGAGGGTATGATGATATCCCGAGAGCATTAGCCAACCCTCCAGAGGATATGGATGCTGATAACTGGAAGAAAGCTGTTGAGTATTTCCAAACGGAAGAACACAGAATTGCTTCAGAAAGGAACACAAAATTGCTTCAGAAAGGAACTCAATAAATGCATGTTGAGTTGGTAATTTTTGTTGGTGGTGATTATTTTCTAAAAGCTTTGGTAATTAGTTTTTTGTCCCAAGTGCAACAAATAGCAATGTACTTTGGTTTTTTGTCTTAGTTTAAAAATAACGATGTACTTTGGTATCATAAAATGCATGTTGATTTGGTCATTTTGGTTTTGTGGTGATTATTTGCTAAAAGGTTTGGTAATTGGGTTTTTGTCCCAAGTGCAATAAATAACAATGTACTTTGGTTATTTGGCTTTAAAAATAGAAATGTAGTTTGGCATCATAAAATGTATGTTGATTTGGTCATTTTGGTTTTTGGTGAGTATTTGCTAAAAGCTTTGGTATTTGAGTTTTTGTCCCATATGTAAGAAATAACAATGTACTTTGCTTTTTTGTCTTAGTTTAAAAATAGCAATGTACTTTGGCGTCATAAAATGCATGTGGATTTGGTAATTATGTTTTCGTCCCTAGTTGGAAAATTTAACTTATAATTTATATATGTTGTTATTTATTATGTAGTTGGAAAATCTTCGGGCATTACTCAACGACCCGGCATGTAGGGAAGATCTTTATTCGTTTTTTCAATCACAAAATAATCAAGGAGGAAATGATGGGAACGAAGATGATGATATGTAGGGAGGAGCTTTATTTGTATGTTATACTTGTCACACTTTGCTATTTGTTAGAATTGTAAAACTTACTTTGCTACTTGTTAGAATTATCAAACATTTGGTTGTTTTATTTTGGTATTAAATTAATTATAACAGTATTTGGTATTTAATTTGATGTTGTTATGTAATTTTTGGTATAGAATTAATTATAACAATATTTGGAATAAGTTATACCCAAAATTGCAAATATAAAAAAAATGAAAAACGTTATTACCGGCGACACTATTACCGGCGACATGAGTATTCTCTTTAGCGGCGACAAGAAGTATTAGCGGCGACAGGTGCATTAGCGGCGACATTTGTCTTTAGCGGTGACAATCTGATCAATAGCGACGAAGCAGTAGCGGCGACTCTTTACCGGCGACGTGTCGCCGCTATTAGCTTTAGCGGCGACTTCTCGACCCTTTACCGGCGACTTTGGTCGCCGCTAATTGCTCATTTCCTTGTAGTGTTTAAAGGTAAAAAAATTTAAAAAAATCAAAGTTTTTTTTTTAAATCAAGTTTAAAAAATTTGTGGAAACTATAATAAGAAATTGTATCAAATCCGTAAATAAAAGCTTTTTAAAAAAAAAAATAAGTTTTAAAAAAATAAGTTATACCAAAATTCTAAAAAAAAACACTTCAAAAAAGTAAAAGCTGAAGAGGTTTGAAGAGACAAGTCAAGTGCTGCGCCACGCAGCACATGCGTAGAGATTTTGCAGTCTGAAGTATTCCAAAAAACAAACTGTTGCGAGAGGGAAAGTGTTGCGCGTATGCTGCGCCGCGCAACAGAAAGTCGTTTGAAAAGGTTTTTTTTTAAAAAACAAACAACACCTAACTATCTCTTAGGTAAGTATAAACTTACATATAATTCGTCTTTAAATATTGTTTTTTCAAAGTACTATTCTTGAATTAAAATTCACTTAAACTAGTTTTTTTTACGTGCAATAACCTTGAAATTATATGTCCCAAGGAACATGGATGAGACTTGTACAATCACCTAGCTAGATATATTGGTTTTATTTAAGATTTTTTTTTTAATTTTTAATTTTAATTTATGAAAAGTTCTATCAACAATTTATGATTTTCATCGCCATGTTCAATACAAAATCACCATTAATCTTATCCCCAATTTTTTTTTCTTTCACCAATTTAACAGCAAAACGATGTTTGTACTAATGTTTAATGCATGTAAAACACGACCTTTTTTCCTTTTGAGAAGGTCATACAAAATTAAGAGAGATAATATTATAATTTGATGGAAAAAGCAAACCCTAATATCATGTCATTAAAAATTTTAGAGAAGGTCATACAAAAATTAAGAGAGATTATATCATAATTTGATGGAAAAAGCAAACCCTAATATCATGTCATTATGTCTATTTCAATAAGTTCAAAGTACATAATATCAAACGATGAATTGGTATATATATAATTTATAACAATACAAAAGAGAAACTTGTTGTATTTATTTTATAACGAAGTGAGTAATTGTAAATGATTAAAGAAATTTAAGTATACATTGTTGAAATGTTTACAAAAAAATGAAGTGTGACAAAGAATATGATCAATTATTTTGTTATTTGTGACTAATCATGATTTTTTCCCGACAGCTTGACCGCACAGAAGGGCATTTTCGGGCAACAGATATTCATCTCGTATTGACATCACTGGAGAATAAACCCGAAGATAGAATTGTTCACCAAGATACTGTCGCACCCAAAACTCGTTTCTTATATTCCACATCCCTACATTATCAAGGGACATATATATTGATGTCCACGATTTTGGATATACCTGTATATAAACGAATAAATCTGTTTTTAGACAGATGTACAAAATGACTAATGCAAGTTAAACTAATATGGCTAATTATAGCACCCATGATGCATTGCCAACGTTTTTCTTGTCTTGATTAAAGGCTCCTTTTGATGATGCATTAATACTTGTTCGGTAAAAGTAACTAAAGCACAAGTAGTTCGTTCGAGCTTTTATTCAAACAACCTTAAAAGCTTTTTGTTAAATGTCCGTTTTTTCAAATTTGATAACATTGACCATGACATCTTTCTTTTTGTCACTAAAGTTTATAGTAATATATGCAATGATTACTTGTATTGTACAAGTACCCAATGCATAAAACATCGTATCTAGTTCAGGCAAAAGAATCTAACCTGCACGGTACAGCGTGAGACAGCATCGATAAGATTGTAGTCATTTCGACTCGTATCACTCCATGTCCCTTCATCCATTCTGCATGTGTAATAACATTATTAGTGACAGAACAAGCGTCGCTAAGTATTTCATAGGTGAAAGCTTGAGAAAAGCAGATTACCCAACAACAAAGAAATTGTAGCCATCAAGATGCCAACTTTGCATGACATTTTCACGATTCTCAAACACAATCTCAATGAAATCCCGAAAATCAGCACCCATAACTGAAGTGTCAAGATAGGGGTTCTGATTTGTGGGGGCATCGGGAATACTCCCGACCTTAAAAACTCCACTAATGTTGAAGTAATCTGCCAACTTAAGAGGTGTATCAGCTTGAACAAACGACACCCCGTTGACATTATATCGTTGTTTTCGATCAATTATGGATGCAGATCCAGTGATTTTGATTGTTCTTGTAATGTTAATCTGTCCATAATGATATGAGCCTTGTGGGTTCGGTCTCGGTCCACTAGCAGTCAAGTTAGTCCTGGAAAATAAACAAAAATTTAGAACACAATGTAATAGAACTGTCGCGAAAAATGTTAAACCGTTGGGAAAGGTGATAATTGTTTACCTGATGGATCTAGCTTGGTTTAATGACCAGGTGATGTCAGTGTCGATAGGCGGCGGCGGTGTGCCAGAAACGGCCTTGACGGAGTTTGAATAGCGGAGGATGGCGGTGGTGTTGAGGTTTTGACTGGTGAATCGGGAGGAAACTGCAATATAGTAATCTTGAGGGGGCTGATCCGCAGTGACCAAAACAGAGTATGATTGTCCCACATGGATGTCAAGAGATGACAAGGATGTTTGGACAGTGTGTGTCCCTTCAACTTCCACTAATGTCATCGTGTGATTTTCAATTCTGAAATTTAGCGAGTTTTGTAGGCCCACATTCGATATTCTTAACCTATAAGTTTTACCTGATAAAATATCAATATCAGTATCAATATCAATATCAGCAGGATCAGGATCAAGATCATTTAGAATAATCGGTTTAACCATGTTATTATAATGTACCTTGCTCGACATTATACGATACGCCACCATCTCCGCGACCGTTAATTAAGATTCCATCGGGAAAAGGAAGTCTCCATCCGAGGTCCATAATTTTCTCGAGTCTCTATAACACATAATATAATAAAAACATTTTTATTATCGGTAAAAGATAATTGTTGCCTTTGATTAAATGTAATGTAGATAGTGATTAGTTTTAATTACGGTGTGATTTGTTGAATAGGCGTCGCCGATAAGAATGGAGTAATCGTCAGTTGGATCTGGAAACGGAACCGGAATCCGTGGTCTGCTAAGGATTTTGATGGCTCCATAACCCCCAGCAGCCTTTTGGAATCCGATAGATGGAAAATAGAAAAAGCTTCCAATCTGATCTTTCACTTGTAATTTATATGTGAAGTTTTGACCCGGTGGAATCGGGCAATTTGTCCCATAAACTCCATCTTGATATGAATTTCTTCTTTGTTGTATGCCATTCCTGTGTTCAAGAACACAAAATCACATTAGAATCAATGTTAAATTTGTAGATATTGCAAGAATTAAAAAGATATTTTAGTCATTTGTCTTGATAAAACAATCATAAATTACCATTTGTTAATCGGCATATTCTTAAACTTGTTTTCTTATTTAAAACGCCAAAAATGAAAAAAATAAAATAATATAAGATAAAGCATCATTTCGTAAGTCGTAATCAGTCTACATTGAATAATTAAAAAATAACATCATACATAGTTGTAATTAACGCGGAATATGGAATAGGAATGTTCACATGATCATTTCCTATCATTTCCTAATGTTCACACTTCATTGATCATATAATTAAATGCATTACTTTTGTTTGTGTATTAATCATCTATTAAAAGATTGTACATTATGCATTATCTTGTACAAATCTTAATGTGTCCACTACATTCATTCTACATCACTTATTTTTATTATACATTATGCATTAAAAGTTATCCAGCATTGAGAGATTACCATGAAATGAGAAAAGGCTCGGGCAAGTTGTTGAAGACATTGATGATGAGATTATCGTTTGTGACCGAATATATTTCCGGACCTGGAAACTGCCCGTTTATCAAAATTCCCTGCAAAATTAGACACGAGAAGCGTCAGCTCGGCGAGACAAAATACAAAATTCAAGTGTTCATATGATCAGTCTTATTGAACACTGGTAAAATGGAGTCGACTCAAGGTTCGAACTTTTGATACCCTATCGTTCAAAAGAGTTATAAATTAAACAATCTTATCAAATTTTACCTGTTGAAGGACACCCATAGGGTATATGTCTCCATAAGTAACATTCCAAGTAAAGAATCGATACGGATCCTCAGCATTGACAATCGCAACAAGACAAAGAACTACACACAAATAGTTTGACCTAACAAATCCTCCGTAACGTTTTAGCATATTTTCAAGGATGGTTAGAGAGAAATATGTGAGATAGAGAGAGAAAGTAGAGAAAGTTGATTTTGCATGGAGAGTTTAGTTGAAGGATAGTGTTTATATAGGAGTCGTCTTTGTGAAGCACATGGACCCACTTGTGCGTGTATACATTCAACCTTTCCAAATGAATGCTAATTAAATATTATGAAAAAGATATACCATAATCTGTTTCATATTAGGAGTAGGGCTACCATGTAAGAATATAATAGAAATATCGATGGTTCTAAATAGTTTTTCCTTTAAATTACAGCTGGTGATTAAAATGAATAAGCATGATGATAATTAATCGGGTAAAAGGTGATCAAAATATATTTCGTGGAGTATTCTTCTTATAAACATGTTTTGTGTATGTTTTGGGTTGATTTATACAAGATAATTAGCATGTTAAAGATTATTAAGAATCACATTTTACATTGATAGTTGAATCTTTAAATGAAACTCAATATATCCTAAACAATTTCTAATTGTCTATTTTATATTTAACCCTTTAATTGCTTGGTGTATTATACGAATGTGATGAGTGGGCGAGTATGTGTATGTTTGATTTTTTATGCGAATGAACAAAATAGTAACGTTGTTTCTAAGTACTTAACTTTTTGTTAATTTAGCCCATTTTAATTTTAGTAACAATTATTGAATTTGTCCATGTGATTTGTCAAAACTACGTATTTAGTATCTAACCATTTTTTTTATACTCAGATTGTCCCTAAAGTTTGTTTTTGTTTTGCTTTTAGTCATTGACAAACATAAAAAGATTATAACACCGTTTTTTCACTCCAACAAACAATTTATGAACTCATATACCGACTCTTTATGAGCTCTAGCGAACATTAAACTCAGGTGAACATCAAAACACCGGTGATCACCACACCCCGCAGATCCCCTTTATCCTCTCTTTTTCATATCTTTATAATTCTCTTTCTCATGGTTGAATTATCTTTCCCACTTATGCACTCCGATCATTACCTCATTTCATGTATCTCTTCTTGTTGGCCACCACAACACCGCCTTCAAAATCTGACTAGTCTTAATGAGGTCAAGTTCAACGGGGTGGAGGCACACTTCAGTTTTCCCCTCCCAGTGGTTTTTGAGGGAATGGTACCGAGTTCTATCTGTGTCCAAAGCAATGAAGCCCGTAATGGGAAACTGTGTTGGTAAGGATGTTGTTGTTATCTCTTTGGGGAGGGATCGAACCCAGGTTTGTTGGGTGTTATCGCATACTTCCCTATCGGATGTTACTGTTCGTTGCACCAAAACTGTCGTTAAAAAAATCAGACTAGTGGTTCCTGTTGAAATTGATGGAGGAATATCCAAACTTGATGGAATAGATTAATCCCGGGAGTTTCCTGATGAAATCGATGGATGTATATATGATTCATGAGTTGTAGGTGGCTGGGCTTGTACTGACAAAGCTTGCAGAGGTGGAGCTTGTAGAGGAAGGCGACAATGGTGATGGTGGCTTCGATTTAGGTCAAATATATCAGAGGAATTGCGGAAGTCAATGTCCTTCTAGGTTGGAGATCCAAACAGGGGCGAGACCAAGTGCAACTAATGTGGGTCCAATGACCCACCTAATTTTTTTAATTTATCTAAAATTTCTATAGATTAATTTTAGTGACCTACCTTAAAATAAATTTAAGAACTACCTTACCTATAAATCTTTGAAATTGTATAAAAAGTTTTCTATAGCAAAATTAATGAACTATATAGTTTCTCTATTTTAGACTCGTCACTGATCCAAAAGCTGTATTTTTTGGGTTACTATTTTAAGTTTTGATTTGGGTTATCTTTTCGTCATTTTGGGTTGACGATGGGTTGCAAACAAGCTTTTAAATCTGGGTTAAAGACCAAATTTAGATTTTCACAAGATTTTGAAATTATGTTGTTTTTCAAGAACAGAGATATAGAGTCAAAAACCATTGGAATCTATAGGTGTGGCAGGTGAGGTGTGACCGGTGAAAGAAAGTACAATGGTTGGGTCGATGGAGAAAGAAAACCTAGCAAGTATGGGTGTGGATGTTGTTCAGCGACAATGGTGGTGACCAACGACAGTAATAGCGGTGGCGGTCGAGGGCAATGGTCAAGGGCGGATCTTTATTAGGGCTAGGGGGGGCTGTGGCCCCCCTGATTTTTTTATTACAATTAGCCTCTATAGTTTAATTTTATACATATTAGGCCCAAAAATATAAAATTTTGGCTGTGGCCCCTCTACTTATCGATTTTTATACATATTATATTTCCGGCTCCCCCAAATCAAATGTTGAAGCTCCGCCCCTGACAATGGTGGTGGTCTTCTTCAATTATAGTGTTGATGGTGGTGTTCAATGGTAGTGGTGGGTGGAGGTAGGGATTTTTAATTTTTTTAATTAGGAAATTATATATAAATAATGAATAAATTACAAAAAATAAATAAAGGTACTACCATAGTATTGTCTTTTTATATAAGATGGGGATGAAAAATGCAACAACATAAAACCATAAAATGAGTCCTGAATACAAAATAGTTAGGGACCAAAAACATAATTTTGTCAAACCAGATCACAATTTCATTAACTTGTTTTTATTTTTATTTTTTTGTTTAAATATTTATCGGGAATTTAAAAAATTAAAAAATAAATAAATAACATAAGACCATTGACATCTGCGTACGTAATGGTAGTAAAAAGGGTGGTGTATTTTATAATTTTTATTCACAGTTCGCACCTTATATTTTTCAATAATAACACATTCATACCTAAACTTTTGCTCGTTTATGACAGGTTTTTCGATATATAATATTTCAATATGGTACATTTGTAATAAACATAGAAGCTTGTATATTTATATAACAGATAGATTTTTCCTCAAATGTGATTTTGTTACAAAAGAATGCTTTGTCAGACGATATTTAATATTTCCAGTTTTAGCTTTTCAATACTATTCATCTTAAGTAAAAATCTTAACTTTTACGACATGACATTTCCATAATTTATCTTTTTTCCAAAATGGCTAATTTAGAACGCAGAAATGTCTTCATATAGTAGTAATTTAAGTAATAGTTATATAAAATACAGGTTATGAGACGATACAAAATATAAATAAAAACTTTAATATATAAAGTTAATATGTGTGACTTCTACGCTATTAAATGTGCTTACCAAAATCCTAAACTAAAGCGAACGCGTAGGACCCGTGATCAGCGAGAACGAGATACACGGGAATTCCATGTGTACTTTCTTTAAACAGCTCAGAGGATTTAATCGCATCCGTCCAAATTGTGATGAAGCTTCCATGGCCCACTCGTATGGTAGATCCGCGGCGAATTGACGGTGGAGATTAGCACCAGCTTGATATAGTTGTACGCGCTTAACAGCTAATATATTGGGAGGAACTAGACCGCCGCAAATTATACATGTTCTTTTGGACTAAATACGCCCCAATCATTTTTAATTTTATTATTTTATTTTATTTGACTTGTATAATCTATTAATTGAAGTGAAATAATATAAAATCCAATTTCATACTTGCAGGTGGATATTAATGCTGTAAAAGTGTCACACATTTGTAGAGTTTGTTAGACTCCAATTGAAATCGGTGTATGGGCAAGTATAATTTGATCAAATACAAAAGGTAACTTTGAGATGTATAACTAATTTTTAATAGATATTTTAAATTATTTAACTGTTTGAAAAAAAAATTAGTGACGAGCCATCAATTGGAACGAACTTTAATCTTTCTACAATTTATAACAAAATAATCATGAGACAAAAGTAAAGTAACATTTTTACATACATCTTAAAATTGAAACAAAACATTTGCTAAATATCAAAAAGCTAAGAAACATTAGTGTATTATTTATTCTAGTCGGTCCATGTATTGTAGCCCTCGTCATATGACCTAAAGAGCATTGTATTATGTATTTATATTTATATATCTATATGCGTGATGTATTCTTTGGAAGGCAACAAAATACCAATTCATAATATTGTATTATAGCTGTATTCCTAAAATCTTCCCTCTCTATTCTCCTCTCTCTACCTCACTCACGGCGGCCTCTCCTTTGCATTGATGAAACCCTTCATTGCCTTCCAAAGAACACATCACATGTATAAAGACATAATGTAATCCCCTTTGGCCCATACAACATAGCCTGTAACTGTCGTTTCTCGAAACAAGCATATTCATAAGTTTGATGTGTAGAATGTTTTTCTTTACGGTCACCTTCAGCATACATAGCATATGCATCACCCTCCAGATTTCCATGATCCACGATACACAAATCATGTGTTCCACCTACATATATATCTTTTTTATGACCTCAAGCAGGCTTTTCATACATGGTATCATAGGTTTCCCAGTATGTTTCACGTATTGGATTTTAGCACAGCCACATACCTATCACTATTCATTTATCAACCGCCTTATAACACGTCATATCTTTTGTTGTACGTAGATCATACCATCATCATTACGTCATCCATGACTTTACTTCATCAGATCATCAGCCTCCTCAGTCACTATTTTGTCCTGACAGATCTTGGAGCCCTAAATTATTTTGTTATCATTTCTATGTACAAATCACCAATAGGTCTTTCATGTCTCAACAAAAGTATAGAAATGAAATATTAGCACGTACGAATATGACTAGTTGTAATTCATGCTAAACACCAGCTGAACCAATCTTATCTCTCAGTCCTCAAAACAAGATGGTACCATTTCCAGATCTAGTACGGGGGGAAATACCACGGGGTGACAAACACGGTTGTTGAGACTTCATGGACTGACTAAATATAATGTATGATAACAACTAAATCTTTGGTCTTCAACTAAAGTATCTAATTTGAACAAATGCCAAAATATGTAGGTTACATTTAGAAAACCTAGTGATCATTCTTGGGGTTAGACATTGTTAAGTGTAAGGAAACTGCACAATTCAAACACAATGGAAACCCTAATACATCTTAAAACAACAATAAGGTCATACTTACAATTTAAAATTTGGAAATAAGTATTTTAACAATAGTAACATTGTTAAAACATCATCAACACTCAT